CTATTGCAAGATCTTTCAAGAGATCAAGATCATGTATGAATGAAGATCTTGTATTGTTTGTAAGAATGCAAGATCCTGTAAATTAAAGATTTTGCATCATATTAAGATCTTGTAGGAATGTAAGATCCTTTATGATTGCAAATCATGCATGAGTTCATGATCTTGCACTTTTTGTGCTTCTTATAAAATCTTTTAATCTTGAAAATTATCCATGACCATGTAGCATGAAAGATCATGTGCGATCATGAATATTATATTTCAACAGCATCTTGAGTCATGCATAATATTGAAATATCTTGCAAGACACATGACGTCATAGAAAGTAAAGGACAACCCACGATAGCCCTTTCTGGAAATACAGTATATAAAAAAAGCAAATTTCGAATCTAATTAAAGTCAATAAACATCATACATTATTTATTATGAACGGGACAATTGATTCAAAACGGTTTAAGATGGCTGGAAAAGATGGCCGAAAAGTAGAAAACTGCAAAAATTAAAGCCACAAAATTGATTTTTGGATGGATCCACAATTTTTTGGGGCCACAAAAATTTTCTACTATACGGTACATGACTCAGCTACTCAATAATTAGAAAAAAGTGCAATGTACAAGTGCAATGCAACAAAGCATGGACATGTAATTTTAAATTCCCATGTTATTACATTTTGTTATCCATTGGTAAAAATCATTAAGTCCATTGCAACTTACTACTTGTGAAACTCATAAATATTAGAAACATTTCCAAAAATCATCTTTTCCTTTCCTTGGAGTGCTTCTGGAAGCGTAGGATTGGCAACAATATTGTGAATAAATCCCTATGAGACCGTGGCAAATGAAATTAAACTCATTCTTCAACTAACATCAACAAGCTTTTGAAGACTATTCACATACTCGACTTCAGTCTCATATAATTCAGCCATGATGTACCTGTAACTATTTTAATACTGACACAAAACAAATCACTAACTGAATTTTTTCTCTGGCCTTTTTAACTTGCTCATCTGTAGCATCAAGACCTGAGGTGTTGAAATTTTCATCGTCACCACTACTTAAACCCTACCAAATTGGCAAAGCAGCAATCAAATCAAACAAAATGTCATAGATTATTTGACAAACTATAATGATGCATATAATGGCAAGTGACAACTCTGCTGTATGTAACCACATGCTGAATAATATGCCAGAAGAACAAAATAATTTCCTTCAGCAAATATTTCGGTTCAAAACAAATGTTTTAAGGGACACAAAATTGCCATTAAAACATGGCACACAATTTTATTACTTTATTGATGAAATAGACAAGTTGCATAGGATTTTTTATGTATAATACTAAAAATCACAATTATGCAAATCACAAAAAGTAACAAACTTGATCACGATGACTAGTATGTTGCGTCCTGCTTGATCGCTTACGAACTACTCCTTTCCTCTTCAATTTTGAACTACATGTAATAAGTAGGTATTTTCTAAGTATACAATAAATCTTTATACATATACTTTATATCATCAGGTGTGATGCCCTGTCCTTTATGTGACAGCTTCATGGAAGAAACTGCTTCAATACTTTCATTTTTGTCTTTTTTTCCTACTTCAGTGCCTTCAAAAAAATCTACTTCTCCTGCTGACTGATCCGTTGACATTATACCACCAAGTGTAGCCTTCTTTAGAGCATTAATGACCTAATGCACAACAACAATTACATGTATGTAAAATAATTACGTAAATGATTCCACCTGATGACTTGCAAAATCCTTAGCACTTGATTCAGTATGCCTTCTTGACTGTATACTCCAATTTTCAGATGTCCCATGATCAACTGTAGCAACTACAGGTTCAAGCATTGATGAAGGAACCCATCCATGTTCAACCTGTCCTGTAATGCTGGTGGCTTGAACAAACCATCTTCCTGTATCTAACTGCTCCATTACTTCAATTATTTGGTTTTTCTTTAACAACAATCCATGTTGATCATTGTGTAATGGAATATAGTCATCTTTTACACGAAACTATACATAGCATAATACAATATTATTAGATATATGTTTTTAAAAACAATAGCACTACATATAACATACAGTATGTAGATGTAGTTTTCATGCAAACAATCACCAAACACATTTGTAAATAATGCAAAACTAACCCGTTTGTATGAAACTGGTGGAGAAGAATTTTGGACACTCTTTGACAGATCAATACGTGTTTTTGAGAATGGAGAACTTGGTCGACGTGGTAAATAAGGAGATGACTGAAGTGACAGGTCTTTAGCTAAAGCATCACTAGTACAGACAGCATTAGAACGCAAACGGTTCCCTGATATAGACAAACTTCGCAACTTGCTATCTTTTTCTTCAATGTGCTTTTGAATGGAGGACTTCATAAACCTTACCCAAGACTTCTTAACATCTATACTAGAACACTTTAAATGCATACGATGATCAACTGTGAAAAAAGCAAATTTCAATGGCTCTCCATCAATGTTTTCAATTATTTGAACACCAGAAGTGAGCTAAAAAGGAAATTATAATATTCTATAAAAACAATATTTTACCGGAATCTTAAACTTATATTCATATGAGAATTTTGCTTGCCCAAGGTCAATTTTTCTAGCAAAAACAACAGTATTTTCAAATAAAAACACGTGACGTTCCTTTTCAGTTGTAATTAACAAACGTGGCTCTGAAACTAATAATAAGCCCTATGTACAAAAAACTTAAAAATTAAATAATATATTTCAAATACTTGGTATAATAGTTCACCAAATTTATGCCATTTGAGTCCCTAAATTTCACAAAACATTCACAGTTACATAAGAAATAATGTACACTACCTCTTCACACTTTAAAAGACTTAAATGAATAGCATTATTAGTTTGAATAGGAATTTCCTCTACAGCTTTTACCGCAAGCTACAAAAAAATCTCAGCAATTTTTTAAAATAAACTTACTTGTAACAAATTAAAATCATGACCTAACAGTCTAGTGTACTTTAAGCAGTCCTAATGTAGTATATAGAAATAAAGTAAACAAATATTCAATTACTGCTAAGAGTAATGGATATCTAGTTATTCGCTGAATAGGTTTGATAAGCAATGAAGACAGAGGTACATCTGTTCCAAATAAACTTGAAACTCTCTACAAAAAATATAAAACCCATCACATTCAGAGTGACTAACTGTCAAATAACTTCGGTGTCCAGCTAACAAGTCTTCCGATTTTGTTTTATTTTGGCAATATGGAACATACAAGTCAGTCATAACTGCAGCCTTGAGCAAGAATATGTTGTTATATACCCACACAAAAAATTATACACTTACATTATCAATAAAAACTTGAGCCAATGACTCCAAGTCCTTCTCAGCACTTTGAATTTGCGGCCATAGTGTTCTGCAAAAAAAGATCGTTACTTTACACATTTGTTAGCATTATCGAAAGTTCTACCCAATTTTGTTGACAAACAATATTCCATTTTACCCAACACAACCAAGTCAAAAATACATGCAAAAACATGTACATGTATATCACAAAAAGCATAAAATCTGACAAATGCATACTAAGTTACTAACTCAATATGGAATTCAGCTATCCATTGTATATTTCCAAACACAATTGTTTCTTTTCCTTTTAGACTATCTGGTAAAAACTCTGAGACAAATCGTGGCTTATACGTCTAATATTAATATCTATAACATTATTTCTATAATTATTAATCAACCTCAACAATAAGTTTAAGATCTTGAACATATACTTCTTCAGTAGCAATTAGTTCTTCAATTACACGCCTGTTTTAAATATTGATAACTGAAATAAAAGGTTTTCTTACTTTTTTTGCTTCAACAATCTCATTTCTTTATCTTTTTCTTCTTCTATTTGGCATAGTTTCACATGTAACGAAGCTAGTTGTTCATCAATAAGACTAAATTCTTTTAGAGTTTGTTCAGTAACTTGATTTAAATGTGCGGTCACTTCACTCAAAACATTGCTATGCAAAAATCCACTGATTTCTTTAATCTAATGATGAACAATACAAAAATTGAGCGCAACATGTACATGTACAAATGTACTACAAATACCTTAGAAACACGATCTAACTGCTCTTCTTTTGTGACAGAAAGATAAATAGAAAGCTCATCTTTAAGGCCTTTTGCTTCAGTAGCAGTGTCACAAGAGCTCATTTTTTCATTAAGTGTCTGAACAAACTGCTCTGATTGTACACACCAATTATTTGCATTAAAAGAATTTTCCTAAAATGTATAAAACTATTACAGGAGAAATATAAAAAGTAAACAATTAGAGGGCATTTATAGAAATAACATTATTTATGTGGCACATACGAGGATTTAATTCACAAAAATAGTAACATTATAATCATTTTTGTAAAATTATTTAAAACACTAAAACTCCAATCAATGTACCTGAAATGACAGAGAAAGCTTTAAGTTAGATAAGCGAGTTTCAACATCAGTATTGAATTTGACCCACTGCTGCTCTAAGTGAGAACCAATGCTACGAATCCTATTTAAATCATAGTGACCAGACTTTTCAAAACCAGCAAGTCTTCTTTTGAGCTCTCCAATTTTTTCATGCATTGGAGAAACAATATTGAAGGAAAATGTTTCATGATCTTGCAATAGCTTCTGAACATCTTGTATTGAATCACCATAATCATTGCGGGTCTTTTTTAATGCTGAAGTAACCTCATCAAGCCATTTTAGCATCTGCAACAATAAACCAAACAATGGTACAATAATAACAATGAAATTTGTACTTTAGGGACTTCAGCTTCAAATTGAATTACATCTTTACTTTGATCAAGCCTTAGCAGACGGCTTTCACATAGACGATTTAGTCGTGACAAACGAGTTCCAATTTTGTGCACTATGCCATCAAAAATAGCTCGATTGAATTGGTGCGACCAAACAGAACTGAAACATAAAAATAGCAAAAATTAATACTCCAAACTTAATAAGTACAGTTTATAAGTGTCAATCGTCAATCTTTTTCCATAGATCAGTGTTAAATCAAGTAAACGTGAATAAATTTAATTTAGGATTCAAAAACCAACTTCAAAAAAGTAAACAAATTAAACTATGGCTTTATTTCTATAGCTGCACTGCAATGTACATGTAAATACTGGTTTTTGATTATGCTATCAAATATTTGCTTAAAAAAGGTAACAACAAAGGGTATACATGAAATGCGCTACTTTTACTGTACTACTAGACGGATCAGCCAAAGCAAGCAAAGCAACGTACATACAACAGATCTTGAGAAACTAACAATACTTATGGATGACCGTGCAAAGAGAGTTAAGAAGCTAAGAACTTGATGAATATAATTCTTGATAATCCCTGTAGCAATTTAATTGACCTTGGCTGTATCATTCAGCAAGCATCAAGAACACAGATAGAAGCAGTCACTGCAAAAAACGATATAGCTAGATAGGCAAATATAGCAATGCATAGTTTTTGGTTTTTCGCACCAAGTTAGTTCATGCTATGATGGACATTCACTTGATAAGAGTGACTTACATTAACGAAGAAAGTCATATATCTGCTATCTTAATATAGGCATCCACTATGCAACTTTGTTGCCAGTACCTTTGATGTGGTTGTGCAACATGTTGCATGAAGTTGAGTCTCTCTACTTCATGCAAAATGTTGCCCAACCACATCAAAGGTTTAACCACAAGTTTCAAGAAACAATGCTACATAGTAGATGCCCACCTTTAACCATCCTTGGTGCATTTGGACTGCAATACAGTTCTAGTCTTGCCAAATTCATTGAATTGCATGATAGCCACCAATGTGACTACATTCATAGGTTATGAAAAGTTAACATTTTTTATACAAATAACAAGGGGTGACGTATGTGTACAGACTAAAGGTGGGTACTTAATACAACACATTGCTAACATCACAATTGGAAGTGCTATATAAATAAATGGTAGTAGGCATCAAATTAAACAAATGGTAGTAGGCATCAAATGCACCAGAATAGAAATTTTTCTAGTCTGATGCATTGACCCATACTCTCATAGTACTTCCTATTAAGAAAAAAGCACATGCGTCATTAAAACACACCTATACATACATACTGGTGTTGTTGATGCTGGGCTCACTCAGGGTCACCCCAATTATAGTTTTGAAGGCAAACCCACAATATAGATAAATTTAAACAACATTAATTATAATTACATAAAAGTAAACAGTATGACTATCACAATCACAAATGAATACCGTATAGCACTTTAATTTTGCGGAGCTAATATTTCGCGGATTGATAAAAATCAATTTTTCGCAGAAATAATTTTTGCAGATTCGCAATGTTAGTGCCACACCTTTAATGGCAATTGAAATTTTAGCGGATCTTTAATTTCCCGGTTTCATGCTAACCGCAAAAATACCGAAAGTTTAGCTCCTCAAAAATAAAGCACTATACGGTATTCTAGTTTAGATTAATGATATTAAATACAATTTAATACAATGCAATTATTTACCATACTGTAGTTCGGCTTATATTGCAGCTGATAATATTCACAATTTTTTCCCACCACTAGCAAAGCCACCAGATGCTATTTTAATTGAAAATGGCACATTACTGAAGCACAGTACCCAAATGCAGTGTTCTTGAGTTGTCATTCTTCTTACTGTTACTAATCCTTCGACTCTTTGAAGCTGCTTTGGCCAGTTCTTTTCAGAAATACTCTACTCACTCTGTCTCACTATATCTTAGGACTCTCCACCCATTCTAGTTAGTATAGTGTTCAGTGACTTGGGTGTGGTTTATTATCATGACCGACCATAAATAATAGAGCATATAAAAGGGATTGAAAATGGTGCATGGGCGTAGCCCAACCTTCATTCATTTGTATTGTTACCAAGCAAACAGAGGCGGTTGGGATTTTGTCACTATTTTTGCGCTCCTTTTCCTCTTTCAGGAGCTATATTTAGCAAAGGACTGTTCTCATTTAAATGAAACTGATGCATCAAGAAGCCTGATGTTTCCTCTCAACACTACTGTTATATGTTGTACAGATGATGTTATAGTTTTAATGATACAGCCCATTTCTCCTCTTAAAATGCCATTTATTTCATTATTCTCCCTTTTCTCAAAACATGCTAAAGTAAAACTGGAAACCATTATAATCATATGAAAGACCCTTACACTTTCCAAAGTAATTATACACGTTAGAGTTAGATTCTATCAAGTATAACTTTGTTACAACAGCTAAAGTATACCAAAAATAGTCGATTTTGTTGTACCTATAACTGATTGCAACATAGCTTTACAGAGACAAAAACCTTGCTGTAGGTAGCTCTAACATTCTATGTGCAATAGGCTATAGATCATAAACAATCGTTGTCCTGGAGTGACACAAGTTTCCTTCAAAATCCTTGCAGCACAGCTTCATGAATGGAGGACATGATGGTTGTCATGTGGAATTCGAACCCAGAACTCCAGACTCAATGCACTCAGCTTAACAAGTTAGGCCATTTGGGACACTCTAAAGATTGGGAGACTTATATTGAGTAAAATATGCGTATCTATACTTGGAGATTCTTAGTGTCAGGCGTTTATTCAAGCCCGGCATTTATTTGAACATTTACGGTAATTGAAATTTTTTATTAGTTTTTATCACTGTGAATATTAGCAGCTGCCATTATAACCCTACCCATCGTAATACATGCATGCATGAATTATAGTTCATGTAGACTTACGTAGCACTATCTTGGCTTATTTTCTTAGGAGTAACAAGAATTCGAGTATTACTTTCAGTACACCAATTATCACTAGTTTCTAGTTCCTGAAAAAGAAATTCAATATAATTAATTACTGATTCATTACTTGTTCTGATCCCAAATAAATGTCAAGCAAGTGATTTGCTTGGCTTTTCACGACATTTACAGTTTCATGCAGAGAATCTTTGAGTTCTTTCAGAAAATCTTGCTGATACTGAATATCAGCTAAGCTTTGACCACATTCATGAGAAGAAAATTGTGCTTGACAGTGCTCCATAGTTGATAGTAGCTATTTAACATTTGAAATACAAGTTAATAAATAAAACAAACAAACTTTTTTATAATTTGTGAAGAATTCTATACTAAACTGTACAATTCTTTGTCGGTTCACAAAATTTTCTTTAACGAAACGGTTTTTGTCAATTAACGTTCGATTAAGAATTGTCATAGAAGATGACTGATAATGACCTTTACTCACACACTCAGATACAGCACTTGAAAACATTTCTATATCTTGTGATAAAATCTACAAATATTTTTTATAAATATATACATTATAATTTTGAAACATATACCATTAATTTCTGATTGCCATCTCTCAATTTTTCTTCCATTAAAGGAACTTCTTCAAAGTTCACGCACACTTTTAGAGATTGCACAGATAAAGAATTTAATTGGTTTAAAGATTTAATGAGGTTCCGAAAGCGATACTGTAACAAATAGTATTCTACACATTCTTCTAGATTAGAGATACGTTTTCTGAAACGCATCATCAATTGGTTCTTAATTTTAGACAAATGAATAACAGAATTATTAAGTTGCATATGAATCTCTTCAATATTAGTGCATCCCCAAATTTCTTGATCCAATTCATCAATATGTTTATTGATATCCTGACCACACACTGTTAAATTATCTATTTTCTCAAGTTCCAGAGAGTACTGACGCTTAAATTCATCACACTGCACTTGGGCATCCTCAAGATTATCAGCCAAACCAGTATTATCTACATTTTCCTGCAACCAGGTCTCCAAATTAGGCAAATACTAAAAATTAGATAATAAAATTGTTTAAATGTAATTATAATTTCATAGTTACATGTATATTATGCAATGGAGAAAAACATCAATGCAAGTGTACTAATATATGGCTGATAAATTTCGTGAGACATTAATTTCCTTTAAACTTGTGGTTCAGTTTAAACTACAAAGTTTAACCCCCTAATAACAGCACATACACAATTAATTAATGGGCCGTTCAGAGGTCTACTGCTTTCAAGCCAATGAAGGAGCCAGAGTCTTAGACTATTACTTCTTATCCCACTATAATCCATGTGCCAAAAAAAGAGTAGCAATAGTAAATCACACTTATTCTCATATTACCTTAAGCCAACTATTTTTAGCGTCTACTAAATTTAGTTATATTAGCAAGAGAGCTATAAACAGCTAAATTAAATAGACGCCAAAATTATTATAAATAGACGCAAAAATATTTATTATTCATTATAATGGTTATTATTGATAGTTAATTTAGCGGGTGTGGTCACAGTGATAAAATATGGTGGCTATGAAGTGGAAGTTTTTGCAGCAATTGATCAGTTACATCCACAAGGAGTGTTTAGATACAAAATTTTCATTAAAAGACTAACAAAGAACTGATTATGCTGCCTATATTCAAAGTATCCTCATTTTCAGTGTTCAATCTAGAGTGCGTTTTTAGCATCAAAAAACGCATAAAAAAGTATATTGACGCACAAATAACAAGTCAATGCATCCATTCTTAGTTAATAAATCAATTTAAATAGTAAAATTAATAACTAGCATGGGCGGACCAGTCAGGTGAGCCTGACCCTCACAAAGGAGGAGGGTCTGGACCAATCCAACACTCTTTTTGGTGTGCACTTTTATGGCTTGGGTAGGGCTGGGTGGGGCTCAATGCGGCTGAAAGATGATATAAATCAGTTCCCTCTCTATAGAATCAGTCATAAATTAGTAACGCGGTAGCATTATTACTAAGTAGGATTCACCCCAAAACAAAATGGCTGCCACAACTTTTGCAGCCTTGCTATACCAGGGAAACGAGCTCCTATGCTTACCATACTTCTTAGAGAGCCTTATCTTGGCTAGAGGACTCCATTGGTACGACCAGCGTGACTCTAAACCTTGTCTAAGAGGAAAGTCAAAAATCGGCGAACAGGCAGTTTTGTTCAGTCTACTTTTTCATCTTAGTCATCTTCTCCTGTCAATCTAGTTAATGGAGGGTATCATGGTCTTTGGTCAATGCTACAAGGCTAATTTTTACACCATTCTACTCCAACTATCCATGCGCAGGTCCACAACTTTTTAAATAACTCTAACAATAACATAAAGTTGCCCTCTCTCTATGACCCCCAGGCCAGCTTACCTTGTCCCGCCATTTTGTTAATTATAGAAACATGTCCTTCAAAATGTGGGTGTGGTCGCGCATGCTCAGATCTTACAAGGGAGCAATTTTTTTATTTAGCTTCGCTTGGATCAACTGCAATACTTAGTGGAGGTTCCAGGCTTCCAGTTCCAGCTCAGAGACAGTATTTAGTTTTGGATATCATTGTTTTATTATATGTGTTCAATAAATTGTATTAAAAAAACAAACAATAATATTATTTCATGTTATACAATGATCATGAACTTGCACTTTTGCAGAAACCGTGGCGTAGCTACATAGGGGCCTGTGGGGGCAAGTGCCCCTGCAACTAGGCAAGAGAATGAAAAGATACAAGTTATAGCTGACTGAGCTGACTCAATTGAGCTTGCTATATATACTGAATATTTTTGAGTATTCCTTTATTCATGCAGTGCCCCCACTGTGCCCTCATTCTTCATTTACTCTAGCCACACCACTGAACAAAAACAACAGTCAACAGGACAGGATTGGAGTGAACAGATAGGTACTGTGACTTCTTCTTGAACACTTGAAGCCTTATGTCAACTTGAGATTATTATTATGCCATACTTCATTAAACACTGATCAGTATAGAATTCCTTTAGCAAACTATTCCCCACAATAGCAATTGACACCATGATGTCACCATCTGAAAAAATTTTACAAATATTATAAAAAAATTAACACAAACAAGAACATAAAAATTTTAAAAAAATAAGATGAAGTAGGATTCTAGAGCAAATTTGTAAAAAAGTAACAGAAACAAGGACAAGTAGGATTCCAAACGACCAATGAAAATACGAAATAAAAATCCTACTCTCATGACGCAAATTCTACTC